TCTCCTATTTTTATATAATCAATTAATTGGTCACCAAACTCCCGCTAATATTTCAAGGACATCAACTTCAGAAGTAGGTGAATCACACCAGCCATTTACTTTCAAACACACACACACACACACACACACAGAGTTGGTGCATTTTTCACCTCACTGGATATTATCAATAGACCCTGGAAACACACTCTCCACCCACTTCTTTTGGATTTCTATAGTTTCCATATCCTAACCATCCTGTTGTACAATCTGAATTCATTCATTATTTGTATGGTTCTTCATTTATAGCTATAACATTATGAAGTAGTATCTCTATCCCCAAGTTATCAACTTAGAACATTCTATATAGATTTGTTGGTTCTCTAGCCCATGACAGAATGAACTATAAGTCTAAAAGAGACACAAAGAAAAAAACCAAGAACTCTGAACATCAAGAAATAATTCAAGGCAAACTAGATCCTATTAAATTCCATCACATATTAACAGGACTCATTCCCAAGGCTACTTTACCATTCCTTTCTTTCAGGAAAGCTGACCACAAGTACTCTAAAGACCATTAGTAGAGTTGAATTTTTTTTTTCCTTATGGTCTTCAGGAAGACTTATTAGGAGAATAGATAAAGAGTTTCTTTCTCTAAAAGTTATCTCCAACTCCAAGGTCAGGCAGGAGTAAAGGGGAAAGACAAGTTCTTAGTGAATATGGTTAATGAATTCGATTGCTATAAAAACGATATGAATTAGATTGCTATAAAAGCAAACACTAGGAAGTATGAAGATCCCCAAAACAATCTCTTGTATTGCAGTATACATATTTCACAAATACATCTCCAGAATGATTTTTTTTTCTCCCTTGGGTTATATTAGTACTATGGCAGAAATTTGCATAACAAGCCTTATGAGCTTGATGTCTCAAAAACAAAAAAGGTATTTGAGCTTTGGTGACCATTGAGAATGTCGAATTTGGTGGCATTTTATTTCTTTCATGATGATTTATCCAGATATTTGTCTCAGCTCAAATGTATAGATCTAGACTAATTCAAGAAACAATGCCTTTAAATATCATGGACCTTTTCATGTTGATGAAGTACAACAGACAGGACTGTGTGTTTCTTAGATAATCAATTAGAACATATTCTTAAACTCCAAAAGCACCATAAATTTCAACTGAGAAATGTGTCCATGAAGACACCAAATCTTTTAGTTATAAAGTAAAAACTGCAGTGAGTCAAACTGGTGAAGTGGCACTCTGAAATTCCTTCCCACCACTCTCTCCCACACACAATGAAGTAAGTTAATCACCTGTCCAGTTATCAATAACAATAAAAAGAATATCATGAAAGTTTGCTTCAAGATCAACATGTTTGTGCTTATATAGTTGACAAGATGCAAAATCACCTGATACTTTGCTAAATAACTCTTTATCCACTGCATCTGAACTTTTAAGCATGAGCATGTAGCAACCATGTATATACATATGCATCTATATGTGTATATATACATACATTGACAGCATCCCATTTAAGAACAACAGTTATTTTTATCAAGAGGTAACACGCTACAGTTGAATATAAAAGGTATGATTCTGGGTAAGTGCTACTGGAGAAGCCTACGTCTGTCATAAATGATCAGACATTTGAACAGAATATTTTCAAATGAGCATACACATCAACTGAAAACCATACATCTTCATCTGCACAAATAGTTTTACTTCATTGACCATGGACAATTATCAGCTAAAGAACCATGTATTTGCCCCTCTCCTTTCACACTCCACAGAAGAACAATAACCCTCAATTAATGACACAACTGTTTGGCTTGAAAAAAATGTGATGTTGTCATATACAGCATTGTGCATTTTCTGAGTGATACTGCTACCAGCTACTCAACAGAATATAATTACATCTGGAATCAGATACCACTTCAATATGCAAAGAAAGGCTGTAGACATAAGGAACTTATACACACACACATACACACACACTCACACATCTGACACATAATGAGAATACAAGGCAAGAAAAAAGCTGGTGCAGGTTGCTAACTAGTGTGCTTCTTACTGCTGTTGAAGCTGGTACTTTCCTGTATTTCTACTTGGTTGAAAGCAATGTACAATTAACCCCCGTCCCTAGAATATATATTAATTGGTTCTGAATTCCCTTCAAGTTTCCATTCCACTCTGGAGTCCTCCTCTCCTATCTTCAATAGTCTACCTCAAATTCTTCCAACATCTTCCCTCATCCTCAAGATGGCTACCTTACCTAATGGAAAAGCAACATCTTCATGGTTGGCTTTTCTTTTTTTAAATTAATTCCTGAAGCATTTCAGAATGTAGTTCTTTCCTTAAGTCAATTTCCTACATTCTTTAGAAGTGATCTGTGAAGAACTCCAATGTGTGTAGATTGGGGTAGGAATGGGTCTTTCCCCCCACCTCCCCCCAAATCATCCACACAAAATGTCTTCCTATAAGATTAATAAATTCTTCCAATTAAAAAGGTGAAGCTACCTAGACATAAGGTTTTCTCAACTGACATAATTTGCTTCCATAGTGACATTGTTAAGAAGATATTGCAGGAGACTTACAGCACTTGAGAACACAGGGGGAAAAAAATAGCAGAAGGAAAGAGAAAGGGGGGAAACAAAGGAACCAGAAGAAGGCCTAACATAGAAATGGAGCAGCTAGAAGGGAAATGGAGAACGTGAGAAGCTGGTGCTAGTCAATCTTAGAGTTCCTTTAAGATCTAAGCAGGAACACTTGCTTTGCCTTGCTTTTTTTTTTTGAGAGAGAGAAACCAACCCATACCAGACAATAAAGTCTTGCAGTACATCCAACATGATGATAACCCAGCCTCAGAACTCAAAAGAAATAAAAAAGACAAAACAAACAAACAAACAAAACTCAGCTTAGAGCCATGTTCACAATGAGGAAATAACATTTCCTGGTGAGTCTGAGGAGACCTAAAGTTGTGAGGAGACCTCAGTGGAAGCGTTTAAGGTTTTTGCCTTGCCATTCCTGAAGGAGGTGAAAACCCTTCAGGTCCACTCCAGAGGCAAGAGAGAGGAGGGGGGGGGGGGGAAGAATTCCAAAAGTTTACTTTAAAATGGAAACAAACGTCTCAATAACTTGTGAAAGCACTCCTTGGGTGGGAGAAAAATCTGAGGAACCCTAGAAAGCCCTCATCTTCCTGCATAATGAATAGCCAGTGAGAAGCCACCACAAGGTCTCCCTCTGGAGAGAGAGAAGGAGTAGGCAGGCAAGCCTCCTCCGCCGCCTCCTCCTCCTCCTCCTCCAGCCATCACCAAGAGCTTCAAAATGGAGACATTCATAATTTTATAAACACTTCTCATCTCAGCTTTGTCTCCTGGAAACCCACTCTCCTCCATTTTCTGATGGAGTTACAACATGACAACCCTCACCTGACTCAGTTCCCAGCTCTCAACCAAACACTAGGCACTTCCTCAAATAATAATGATCATGATCATGATAAAGAAACCTGCCAGCAATCCAGAAACAAAACCAAAGCAAACCAAACAGCCAACAACAGACACTCAGACACAGCCTCCCGGGAACCCTGGGAGAAAGCTCCAACTGGTTAGTCTTTCCCCATCCCAGACGAGTGCTTAAAAATAAAACTTTTTTTTTCTTTTTTTGGGGGGTTGGGAAGGATTAGAAAAGGAACTCCAGGCAAGACTCCCTCCCTTGGCTCTCTTGTAGGTCAGAAGCTACAATGAAAAGAAAATGAAGGTTCCTTCAGGAGTGGTGAACAGCCTGGAGGATGAACGTGAGAAGGAGCTTTGTGTTTGGGAGTCTGGACTGGAACCAAGGCAGACAGCTTGCAAATGGAGGACAGGGAGATAAAGAAAAGGAAAGAGAAGGTCTGTTCCAATGAGGGGCGGCTGCGGCTTCCCTCGTGCCTCGCAGAGGACGGACCCCTGGGAACCACACCAGGACGAGACGCCCCCCTCCAGACCCCTGCCTTCCTTTCTGCCAGCCTCAGAAGAGAGCCAAGCGTGTGTAATGGCTTCTCTTCTCCAGAAACCGTTGTCCTCCTCCACCAGACGCTTCGGAACCCCCAAGCCTTTGGAGACAGCTCCTCAACCTGCACCTCTCCAACCCGGCCTGCGCCCCCCCCCCACTTCTTTCCTCCTCGGCAGCAGCGGCCCCCCAACACATCCCGACCCCGCATCCCAACTTCGGAGAGAGAGAGAAGAGAGAGGAGAGAGAGAGAGAGGCAAATACCTGAGAAAGGGGGGGTGCCAATCCGCACGCCTGTGCCATCGGGGGGGGGGGCAGGCAGACAGAGAGGAGGGGGGCAAGGAAGGAGAGGGACAGAGAAAGAAAGAGGTCAGCCCGCTCAGGTCGGGGCCGCTCGCTCGGAGCGCTCCTCCTCTGACCCTCGCTCGCTCGCTCGCCTTGGCTGGGGCTCCGGGTCTCCAAAGCCTCCCGCCCTCCGCCCCCCTCTCCGTCCCCACTCCGGTCCCCGCACTCGCTCCGAGCATCCCCGTCTAAGATCTCTCTTCTCACTCTTTTTTCTTTCTTTTTCTTTTCTTTTTTTTTGCCTCCCCTTCTCTGGATGGAACTAACATGAAATTAATTAAGCCGCGGCGCTCGCCCTCCCCACCCCCTCCCCAGCCGCCCTCCCCACCCGTGCAGAAGGAGCAGTCAGCAGGAAAAGCACAGCCACCTCCAGTGCCACCCTACCACCTTCTCCTCCTCTTCCTCCCTCGCTTCTCCTCCTCCTCCTTCTCCTCCTCTTCCTCCTCCTCCTCCTCCCCCTGCTGCTCTCCCTCCTCCCCCCCTCCTCCTCCTCCACCTCCTGCTTCTCCTCTCTAGCTTCTCTGCCCAACAGCCAGTCCATACAGGGGACTTCCTCTCCTCCCGGCGCCACCAGCCCTCCTGGACCGAATGAATGAGCGCGTTTGTGCCTCCGCCGCCCCGCGCTCCGGCTCTCCTCCCCCGAGCCACTCGGACCACCCAGAGGTGCTGCTTTCATTGCAGTAACTTACAGAAGAAGCGTCCCGGCGCCGGGAGGTGCTTCGGGCTCTCCAGCCCCACCGCCTCCTGATCCTCTTTCTCTTTCTCCTCTTCCTGCTCGGGTTATTGTTGTGGAAGTTGTTTGGGAGTCTCATGTGCTTCTGCCGGGTCTCAGCAATGGAGGATCGCCATCTTCCCTGCCTTCCTCGGCTCCTCAGACTCGCTGCAGCTGCAGATGACCTGAGATATCTCTCTCTCTCTTCCCCTCTCTCTCTCGCGCTCTCTCTCTCTCTCCCCCTCTGCTCTTCTCTCCTCCCTCTTCCTCGCGCGCTCTCTCCTCTCTCTCTCCTCTCTCTCTCTTCTCCCTCCCTCTGTGTCTCTCTCTCTGAATAATGAGCAACTGGAGGGAGAGAGAAAGCAAGACAGAAAGAGAGAAGACAATCTTCTGCTGCCACACAAAACGCCGGAGCACCAGGGGGTGCGCGAAGCCTTCCTAATAACAACACGTTCAGGAGACAGGAAGGAGGGGAAGGAAAGAAAAGAAAGATCGGAGGAAAGGGCTAAGGGGAGGGAGGGGAGAAAAAAAAGGAGGGGGGGGAGGATTATATCCCAAGAGCTTGGAGAAGCGCAGAAGGAGACGCTGGAAGAGATGCTCAGGCTGTGGTTGCTGTCTCCCCCCCCCCGCCCCTCCCCTTGCTGAACCCCAGAAGGAAGAGGCAAGGTGGTTGCAAAGTTAAGGCTGGGACATTGTCTTTGTCACTCGGAGCAACCCAAGAGCCAGGCCAGTGAGATGCAAGAGGAGGAGGAGGTGGCGGCGGCCGTGGAGGAGGAGGAAGAAGAGGAGGAGGAGAAGGCAAAGGAGGAGAAGGAGGAGGGGAGGGGGTGGGGGGGAAGAGGGAGAAGAGATGAATAAAGACTTGCGGAGAAGGCGGTGCGAGGAGCGCGGCCGCAGGGACCGAAGAAGCGTGCGCGTTTGCGTCCTGGAGGCACCGAATCACCCGGGCGGGCAGAGGAATCCTTGTAAGGACCCTGCCCCGAAGCTCAAAGCCTTCCCACCATCATCCTAGCCCGAGGCGCCCAGTCCCGGCGCCCGGGGGTCCCTCCACTCGCATCCATCTAGAGGCCAATCTTTGCCCAGAACCTAGATGGGAAACTAGAGGTTGCAAGTCGAAAGCCCTGGCCAACCACGTGGGGCTTTTTAATTCCTTCCCAGCTTGCGGTGTGAGTATCTCCCAGTGAAAAAGCGCAAGTTGTCCATGACTGGCACTATGTTGATGCCCGTCTCCTCTGGAATAAAGGCTTATTTGTGCGTTTTACTTCTTTCCTGATATGGAACGGGAGGTGGGGTGGGGGGAGGGAACCCATCCTTGCAAGCTTCGGAACCACCACTTTCTTTTCCTAACTTGTGAAGTGTTTTGACTGCGCACCAAAAAGGAAAAAAAAAAAAAAAAGCCTACTTAAATAACTTTACACCCTCCAGCCCCGCGTTGTTTGCACTTTCTGGCTGATCATCTAAAGCCCCGGAAAGTAACAATCAGCGCTCCTAATGATAAGGTGTCATGGTGTTGAAGACGAGCGAGCCAAGATGAAGCTTTCAACCCCTTGGATTTTTATTTAGTGCAATTTCCCCCCGCCTCCAAATCGTTCTGGACTATCTCTTTTGCAAAAGAGTGGGTTTCCGCCTCCAGCTACCCCCAATCCTCTACTCTCCCCCGCCCCTCCACACCGCCCCCCCCCCCGCCCCAGTTACTTTCACCAGGTCAAATGTCTCCCATGGCTTTTATTGGATGAGGCAAGAGGCATGGGGGGGGGGGGGGAAGGTAGGGAGCGAGGGAGACTACAGTATCAAAAAAAAAAAAATCAATGCAGCAAATCAGGAGCAAATGAAGTTCAAGGGCATGGGCTGGTGGTACCGTTTCTATTTCTCAGATCCTCGAGTTGGACATCCACAGCCTCAGGAGAGAGGCACGCAGCGCGCGGGGCAGACCTTAATTAAAGTTTCTTTTGTCCGCGTCTGAATTGCGGGGAGGTAGGGAGGGGATGTTGTTGGATTCCTTCGCATAGAGGAGCGCGCATCCGGTGAAAGCGCCCGCGTCGAGGATCCGGGGCGAGATCGTCCTCTTTTAATACTCGCCCCCCCCTCTAACCATCTCCCCCCGCTCCACTCCCCGACAGCCTGGACAGATACACCCGTAAATCCGTACAATAAAGAGGGAAAGGAGGAGGCGCGCGCCGAGTGGGTTCACACCGGAGAGCAGGATTTCAGGAACAGATTTAAAATCCTCATTTCCACACACACCTCCCGCCTAAGATTTTTTTTTTTTTTGTCCTCCCGGCCTTCCCCCCGCCCCCACTCCGCCCCATGGGCGACCGATTGTATATTCCCGAGCAGAATCTCTCACCCGGACGCACGATCGCACCCTCTTCCACTCAACACTTCCTGCCCTTTCCTCATCCTACTCACATTGAAAAGCACCGAAAGCCCTAAAAGGGTGTTGATGGCCTGGGGGGGGGGGTGCGGTGATAAATAAATAAGTGACCCTACGCGTGCGGTGGAGAAGAAAGGAGGGGGGTGGGCAGAAAGAGGTGAGGGGGGACAGAAGTAGGGAGAGAAGACCAGAAGGAGAAAGCAGCCAGGCGAAAGCAAAAAGGGAGTTTAAAAAAGAAAAGGCCAGGAGAGCGTGAGGCTGCTCTGCTTTGTGCAGAACAGTCACCGGACTCCCCGGATCCAGGTTGCCTGATGGGAGCTGGGCAAGTCCTGGAAGTCCCCCCCCACACCCCACCCCACCCCCGACCTCCTCCCTGGCGGGACCCCGGGAGTATCTGAGCGCTGGCCGCCGCTCCCCGCCTCCCCCCCACCACCACCCCCCCCAAATTCCTCGTGGCACCAAGAGGAAGCGCGCCAGGTCTCCAGCGTCCCGGCTGATCATTTACCTCTTTGTTTTTAATATTTAAAAGGAAAAGACAAGAAAGCTGACTTTTAGTGTCCAGCTTGGTATGGGATGGGTGGATGGGGGGAATATCCATGGTTATCTCAGGTTGAAAGCTCCTAGGACCGCTGGGGTTTAGAGGCTAAGATTAAATCTTCCTCGACGTGAAGGTACCCGGTCCCCCCCCCTTTCTGGCTTGGCTTGGGGTCGGATGGTCGTAAAATGGTGGGGGGTCGCCCTTTTCCCCAGCTCTGCCACCACCATCACCATCACCCCTGGGGTGTTGGGGGGGAGGGAGGTTGTGGATGCGGCGTAGGGCACCGGAGGGTGGAGGCAGAGGAAGAAGCGGTGGGGTCAGAGGAAACCTCTGGGGTGCCAGGGCTCCCGGGGCAGCCCAGGCTCTGGCAGCCGGGGAAGGAGCCCCGGGGAGGAGCCTTTCGGGGAGAGCGCGCGAGCGCGCCCCAACACGCCTCCGACCCCGGCAACCCACTTGGCGGAGGCCGGCGACGGCGCACGGCGGGCCGACCGCTGTGAACTCGCGAAATTAACCTTGCGCGCTACAATTAAACGGGCTGCCGCCCTTTCACACTCACCTCGAACGACCGAGACAGACAAGAGCTCCCAAGCCGGCGGCGGGGGGACCTGGCTCCACCCTCCGGTCCCAGGAGAAGCGGACACACACTCACACACACACACACACACACACACACACACACACAAAGGGGGGGGAGATGGACTTGGAGATGGCCCCGCCCTTCCAACGCTCCAATCCTTGGAAACCAAACCTCCTCTCCAAGGCTTCCACGTCTAGAAGGGACAAAGACAGCGTGGAGATGCAGACGCGGATGGGGAACCGGTGGCCCGCTGCCTTCTTTCTGGTGTGGGTGTCTGGGGCGCGGGGGGCGGGGGGGAAGCTGGTGCTCATCCCAAGTAGGGCACCAGCGGATGATCTTTCCAAGACCAGCCTGCTGCTCCTGGAGAAGGAGCTACGCCAAGCTCCCCAAAGTTGCCAGGAGTAAACTCTTACAAAACGCCCGGGCAGAGCCCCGCTTTTTGGAAAGTGGCAAGCCTTTAAAAAAAAAAAAAAAAAGTCCATTTTGATGCTATGGCGCGTTGATCCTCCGGACTTGGAAGGAATCCCAAGTGCCTGGATTCCCCCAAGTAAAACCATCCAAAGATCTGAAACCTAAGAGAAGCGTGGGTTGTTTAGGGTTGTTGTTTGTTGTTATCGTTGTTGTTTTGAGTGGTTGGCTTTTATGGAGGACAGTTTCTCAAATACTAAGGAAAACAACTCGGATACGTGAACGCCAGGACCGAGGGTGATGGTTTGAGTGAAAAACCTTAATAAACTTGGCACTTAAGTAACCTAATTAGGCTTTGCCATTAGCAGGTCATTTAGATAAGTAGGAGAAAGTTCACACCGCTTGCTGGTGCGTTCCTTAAGATGGTTCACAAAGATAATGCCTAGTTGATGGGTTCTCCACGGGGGAGGAAGAGTTAAAGTTTGCATTAAAAAAAAAATTAAACAGGTTGGTTCTCCGGCTGGCTGCCGTAAGAAGGTCTCAGGGACTTGTTGACTCCCCGAAGTCCCATGGGATCTAGAAACTTTATTAATATTCCAAGAAATAAGAATATGATTGAAAGTCTGGACTTTTCTTCTCCCTTACCATGGGTGATTGGCATACAGCGTTTTCATAAAGAGAAACTATGGCTCATCAAAAATGTGACTTTATGAGCACTAGTAGAATAATAAATCTGGCCATTTTCGTCCAGGAAATAATAAAAATTCTATAACCAGAGTGGCCCAAGCTATGCGACAGTAGTGACATGAGGATAGTCCCGAAGTTATTTTGGTTGTTGGAGCCTTAAAAAAAAAGAAAAAGAAGAAGAAGGTATCTAAATGCTTTAAGGAGAAGTGTTTATGGAAGGGGAGAGGGCTATTACCAAACCTTCAGGACCACTCATGGAGGGGTAGGGGTGCAGAGGAGGCTGGTCCAGAGATTACAAGAAAAAGATAAAATTTCCACGGAAACAAGAGTGGATAGCTATTCTGAAGTCATTGTTTCAATATTTACATTCTATTCTATCATATGAAAAAGGAAATGTTGAGGAACGTCTCTCGCTTCCTGGAAACTATACCAAAAAGAAAGACTAATAATGCTGTAGATAGCTCCACTTTCTACATTCCAGCTGGAAAAGCAGGTGAATAGAGATTATGACTTTTAAAAAAAAATCTTAATTATTCCAACCTTAAACATTTAATCATATTGTTAACACACCTCTTGCTGGCATTTCTGTGCTTATAAAAAAAATTCCTGGGTTTTGTTTGTTTGTGCTTTTTGCAATTCAATATAGTGTTTTTACTATTTGAG